ATCCACATCTAAGTTTCAAAAATCTAATCAAACTTCCAAACCAAACCAGATCCACATCTAAGTTTCAAAAATCTAATCAAACTTCCAAACCAAACCAGATCCACATCTAAGTTTCAAAAATCTAATCAAACTTCCAAACCAAACCAGATCCACATCTAAGTTTCAAAAATCTAATCAAACTTCCAAACCAAACCAGATCCACATCTAAGTTTCAAAAATCTAATCAAACTTCCAAACCAAACCAGATCCACATCTAAGTTTCAAAAATCTAATCAAACTTCCAAACCAAACCAGATCCACATCTAAGTTTCAAAAATCTAATCAAACTTCCAAACCAAACCAGATCCACATCTAAGTTTCAAAAATCTAATCAAACTTCCAAACCAAACCAGATCCACATCTAAGTTTCAAAAATCTAATCAAACTTCCAAACCAAACCAGATCCACATCTAAGTTTCAAAAATCTAATCAAACTTCCAAACCAAACCAGATCCACATCTAAGTTTCAAAAATCTAATCAAACTTCCAAACCAAACCAGATCCACATCTAAGTTTCAAAAATCTAATCAAACTTCCAAACCAAACCAGATCCACATCTAAGTTTCAAAAATCTAATCAAACTTCCAAACCAAACCAGATCCACATCTAAGTTTCAAAAATCTAATCAAACTTCCAAACCAAACCAGATCCACATCTAAGTTTCAAAAATCTAATCAAACTTCCAAACCAAACCAGATCCACATCTAAGTTTCAAAAATCTAATCAAACTTCCAAACCAAACCAGATCCACATCTAAGTTTCAAAAATCTAATCAAACTTCCAAACCAAACCAGATCCACATCTAAGTTTCAAAAATCTAATCAAACTTCCAAACCAAACCAGATCCACATCTAAGTTTCAAAAATCTAATCAAACTTCCAAACCAAACCAGATCCACATCTAAGTTTCAAAAATCTAATCAAACTTCCAAACCAAACCAGATCCACATCTAAGTTTCAAAAATCTAATCAAACTTCCAAACCAAACCAGATCCACATCTAAGTTTCAAAAATCTAATCAAACTTCCAAACCAAACCAGATCCACATCTAAGTTTCAAAAATCTAATCAAACTTCCAAACCAAACCAGATCCACATCTAAGTTTCAAAAATCTAATCAAACTTCCAAACCAAACCAGATCCACATCTAAGTTTCAAAAATCTAATCAAACTTCCAAACCAAACCAGATCCACATCTAAGTTTCAAAAATCTAATCAAACTTCCAAACCAAACCAGATCCACATCTAAGTTTCAAAAATCTAATCAAACTTCCAAACCAAACCAGATCCACATCTAAGTTTCAAAAATCTAATCAAACTTCCAAACCAAACCAGATCCACATCTAAGTTTCAAAAATCTAATCAAACTTCCAAACCAAACCAGATCCACATCTAAGTTTCAAAAATCTAATCAAACTTCCAAACCAAACCAGATCCACATCTAAGTTTCAAAAATCTAATCAAACTTCCAAACCAAACCAGATCCACATCTAAGTTTCAAAAATCTAATCAAACTTCCAAACCAAACCAGATCCACATCTAAGTTTCAAAAATCTAATCAAACTTCCAAACCAAACCAGATCCACATCTAAGTTTCAAAAATCTAATCAAACTTCCAAACCAAACCAGATCCACATCTAAGTTTCAAAAATCTAATCAAACTTCCAAACCAAACCAGATCCACATCTAAGTTTCAAAAATCTAATCAAACTTCCAAACCAAACCAGATCCACATCTAAGTTTCAAAAATCTAATCAAACTTCCAAACCAAACCAGATCCACATCTAAGTTTCAAAAATCTAATCAAACTTCCAAACCAAACCAGATCCACATCTAAGTTTCAAAAATCTAATCAAACTTCCAAACCAAACCAGATCCACATCTAAGTTTCAAAAATCTAATCAAACTTCCAAACCAAACCAGATCCACATCTAAGTTTCAAAAATCTAATCAAACTTCCAAACCAAACCAGATCCACATCTAAGTTTCAAAAATCTAATCAAACTTCCAAACCAAACCAGATCCACATCTAAGTTTCAAAAATCTAATCAAACTTCCAAACCAAACCAGATCCACATCTAAGTTTCAAAAATCTAATCAAACTTCCAAACCAAACCAGATCCACATCTAAGTTTCAAAAATCTAATCAAACTTCCAAACCAAACCAGATCCACATCTAAGTTTCAAAAATCTAATCAAACTTCCAAACCAAACCAGATCCACATCTAAGTTTCAAAAATCTAATCAAACTTCCAAACCAAACCAGATCCACATCTAAGTTTCAAAAATCTAATCAAACTTCCAAACCAAACCAGATCCACATCTAAGTTTCAAAAATCTAATCAAACTTCCAAACCAAACCAGATCCACATCTAAGTTTCAAAAATCTAATCAAACTTCCAAACCAAACCAGATCCACATCTAAGTTTCAAAAATCTAATCAAACTTCCAAACCAAACCAGATCCACATCTAAGTTTCAAAAATCTAATCAAACTTCCAAACCAAACCAGATCCACATCTAAGTTTCAAAAATCTAATCAAACTTCCAAACCAAACCAGATCCACATCTAAGTTTCAAAAATCTAATCAAACTTCCAAACCAAACCAGATCCACATCTAAGTTTCAAAAATCTAATCAAACTTCCAAACCAAACCAGATCCACATCTAAGTTTCAAAAATCTAATCAAACTTCCAAACCAAACCAGATCCACATCTAAGTTTCAAAAATCTAATCAAACTTCCAAACCAAACCAGATCCACATCTAAGTTTCAAAAATCTAATCAAACTTCCAAACCAAACCAGATCCACATCTAAGTTTCAAAAATCTAATCAAACTTCCAAACCAAACCAGATCCACATCTAAGTTTCAAAAATCTAATCAAACTTCCAAACCAAACCAGATCCACATCTAAGTTTCAAAAATCTAATCAAACTTCCAAACCAAACCAGATCCACATCTAAGTTTCAAAAATCTAATCAAACTTCCAAACCAAACCAGATCCACATCTAAGTTTCAAAAATCTAATCAAACTTCCAAACCAAACCAGATCCACATCTAAGTTTCAAAAATCTAATCAAACTTCCAAACCAAACCAGATCCACATCTAAGTTTCAAAAATCTAATCAAACTTCCAAACCAAACCAGATCCACAATAAATTATTAAAAAATCAAACTTCCAAACCAAACCAAATCCACATCTAAGTTTCAAAAATCTAATCAAACTTCCAAACCAAAGCAGATCCACAATAAATTATTAAAAAATCAAACTTCCAAACCAAACCAAATCCACATCTAAGTTTCAAAAATCTAATCAAACTTCCAAACCAAACCAGATCCACACCCAAGTTTTTGCAGATCCACATCTAATTTCAAAAATCAAATGAAAAAGAGAGAGAGAGAGAGAGAGAGAGAGCGAACCGGGCTGTGTTGCTTGCTGCCGATCGCCGGTTGCTGTGCGCCTGCCGATCGCCGGCGTCTCACCTCGCCGCCGCTGCTGCTGCTGTGCTGCAGATCGCCGGCTGCTGCTGTGCTGCAGATCGCCGGCTGCTGCTAAGGGAAGGGAAAATACGAACGAAAGGGGTAGAGAGGAGAGAAATAGGCTGCTCAGTGCTCTCTGCTTTTCACGGGTGGGTACTGGGTAGGGTAACAAAAGTTTATTTTCTAATATATTATATATATATATAATATTATTATATTAATATATAAATATAAAAAAAAAAATTATAATAATACGCGGGTCGCGGTTTGCGGTTCGGGTAGGGTCAGAACCGCAACCCGACCCGAACCCGATTTTTGGCAGAGTTCTTGACCCGCACCCGCCCACCTACCTATATCGAAACCTCCCAAAAGGTTGCGGGTAGGGTAGGGTCGGGCGGTTTGTGCGGGTGGGTGGGTTCTGTGCCTAGCCCTAGTTTATACATGCTCCTCATCAGATTCACTTCGAGACTGTTATGAGAATTTTGAGGTACTTGAAGTCTGCTCTTGGTAAGTGTCTTTATTTTTCAAAGCATGATCATCTTCATGTGGAAGCTTATACAGATGTTGACTGTGCTGGATCCGTAACTGATAGGAGATCGACTTTAGGGTATTGCACTTTTGTTGGAGGCAACCTAGTTACTTGAAGGAGTAAGAAACAGAATGTGGTTGCTAGGTCAAATGCAGAAACTGAGTTTAGAGTTATGGCACAAGGAGTGTGTGAGCTCTTATGGATCAAGCTATTGTTGAGTGATCTAGGTATTGATCAGATGGACTCCATGCGGTTATACTGTGATAATAAGGCTGCCATCAATATCGCTCACAATCCAGTTCAACATGACAGGACAAAGCATGTTGAGATTGATCGTCACTTCATTAAGGAGAAACTCACTAGTGGCACAATATGTACTCCATTTGTGCAGATTGTTGAACAACTTGCTGACATCTTCACAAAGGGCGTTGGGAGTAAGGCATTGTATGACATCCTAGGCAAGCTGGGCATGAGAGATATTTTCACACCAGCTTAAGGGGGAGTGTTATATTAATATATTATTAGTTGGGTTATTATTCAAGTGTAATTATTCTATGTCTTAGGGCTCCCTTGTAATTATTAATCTTCATTAATATAAAAAGCGGATGATATCACAATCATTCCCTTATCTTTGTATTCTCTAAAATCATCAGAAATATCGATTATAATCAGAGCATGAGGACAGTGTTTCCAAGAACTTCTCCTACGTCTTTGTGTGTGTGTGTGTGAGTGTGTGTCCTCTTGCTATAATAGTTTGCTTGCATAACACCTAGGTTTTAAAGTATGGTACTGTAACAAGATAAATTTTAAGGTGCGGGGTTTACATCAGATAATCTATATTTCTTTCACAGGATGACAATTTATGAAATTAAGAACCTATTGAATGATGCTAGTGGCTTCTGAATAATTGTTTTTTTCAATAAATAACAATTGACAAATGCATTTTTTTGCAGGTTGTTCATTTTCAGCCACACACTTTGTTTCTTAATAGGGTAGGCCGCCGTCTATCTCTGCAGCAGTGTGATACTCAGATGCTGGAATGGATTCATCCCACTGATCCTCCAAGACATTTTGGATGGCAGCCTTCCACAAAACTTGAGTTGTTGAAGGTCAGTGCAAATTGATTGTTTCTTATGGACTATACACAGTTTCACTTAAAACAGGACTTTGTGTGTTCTTCCAGTGTATGATTTGGTTTTACTGTCATTTGTAGGTGCGGTTGGATGGTTACGAATGGAGTACACCTTTTAGTGTTGAGACAGAAGGTCTGATGTGTGTCTCCTTGAAGAATGAAACCAAAAGTGAACAAATACATTTGAGGGTGGAAGTAAGAAGTGGAACAAAGTGCTCACACTACGAAGTTATTTTCCGTCCTAACTCATTGTCAAGTCCTTACAGGTTTGATTCTTGTCCCTTAATTTTCTCTTTTAGAATTTTTTATTTGTGTGTCTTTGTTTAAATTATGGAATCCTTTAAACTTGGAAGGAGATAAGAATATGTGCTAAAACCTTATTTTCTTTAATCATAGCTAAATAATTTTTTCCCTTGAAGTGCTGGAAAACTATGAAACTTATCTCAAATTGTTATGCAGTAGCTGATTTTAAAAATCAATGCAGAATTGAGTTTATGATTGAATAATGAACTTCTTGTCAGAATTAAACTTGTCATTTACCTTTTTTTCCCTTCCCTTCTCCAGACAGCACTAAGAAATTTTTTTGTAGAATGGAATGGAAGATACAGTATTTATAATATGGTGCATAAACATTGTCTTACTGCATTCTTTTTCTTTGTCATGTGTATCTATCTTTTCCTGCAATTTCTACCGAAAAAAAATGATTAATTAATTATGTTTTGACAGGATTGAAAATCGTTCATTGTTTTTGCCCGTAAGTTTTCGGCAAGTGGATGGCACCAGTGATTCATGGCGATCTCTTCTACCTAATTCAGCTGCTTCATTTTTATGGGAAGATCTTGGTAGACGAAGGTTGCTGGAACTATTGGTGGATGGGACTGACCCATTGAAATCACAGACGTACAACATTGATGAGATATCCGATCATCAGCCTATCCATGTGGCAGGAGGACCTTCTACAGCTTTACGTGTTTCCATTCTCAAAGAAGAGAAAACTAATGTCGTTAAGCTCAGTGATTGGATGCCAGAAAATGACGCAATTGTCAATCAAAATGTTCCATCATCTTTATCTCAACTTTCTGGGAATGATTTTCAACATCGACAGTCAAACACCTCAAATTTTGAATTTCATGTTATTATTGAGCTTGCTGAGCTTGGATTGTCTATCATCGATCATACACCCGAAGAGATCTTATATATGTCAGTGCAGAATCTACTTTTATCATATTCCACAGGATTGGACTCTGGAATCAGTAGGTAATTTTCTTTATCAATGGACACTAGCATGTTTGATGAAATTTATCGTATGAATTAGTCAATATGGATACGTGCACATCATTCAGGGAAGTTGTTGGATCATGTGCTTGTTTATCATATTTGTTTGTCTGATAATGGTAGTGGTGATGATCATGATGATGACAATACATGGTTAGTGATTAAACAAACTTAGTTTGTGTTGCAGGTTAAAAGTAAGAATGCGTGGGATTCAAGTAGATAATCAGTTGCCTTTAACCCCAATGCCAGTTCTTTTTAGGCCACAAAGAGTTGTAGAGGAGACTGATTATATCTTGAAATTTTCCATGACACAGCAATCAAATGGATCACTGGATTTATGTGTCTATCCATATATTGGATTCCAAGTGAGTATATTAAAATTTCAAACTTAAACCAGAAACTTGATGGCTTATGCTATGCTTAATAACATTTGTTTTGATTGCTTCCTACTCACAGGGACCAGAAAATTCTGCCTTTTTGATAAACATTCATGAACCAATCATTTGGCGCCTTCATGGGATGGTCCAGCATGTAAATCTTAATAGGTTATATGATTCTCAATCTAATGCTGTTTCATTCGATCCGATCATACAAATTTGGTAATGACTCAAAGCATAACTTTGCTTTTTTTATTGTGGCCTGTTTCTGCACTTGCTCTTTTTAACTTATATTTGAATAATATGTCCTTCACTGGCAGTGTCCTTAACATCTCTGAAGTTCGTTTCAAAGTGTCAATGACTATGTCGCCAACTCAACGGCCTGTGGGTGTACTTGGGTTTTGGTCATCCTTAATGACTGCATTGGGTAACACTGAAAATATGCCAGTAAGCCTTTGTTCTATCTTCTTATTATACCGTAATTTTGATATCTAATTCTTTGCAAAGAACTTCAATATTTTCTGGCTAGACAGAAAGTAACACCAGCTTGTGTATTGGAATCAGAGTTGGGGCATTGATTCTACCATTTGATAATATTTGCTAAGAGATCACCGTCCCCAAAAGATTATTTTGTCTTGATTTGTTTCACTCCATTTCTTTGACGTGTGTTCAGGGTATTACCGTACAAGAAAAATATTCAATTTATGTGGTGGTTGCATTTTGCTGACATGACCCTTTTTCAGTGTGGTATTGCATGGCAGCATCATACTATGGGTTCATGACCCTGCATAGGAACACATCCAACTATTATTCCCTTCCATTTAGCCGACTGTTTGAGTGGTTGGTCAGTGGGTTTGCTCCCCATATGACCAACTAGGATTTGACTCTTGTCAGTCCCTCCCGTTTGCCCGGATCATGCAATTAGGGGGTTGTTGCTTGATCCTCAGGTTTATGCTCATGGGGTTGGCCAAAAGGACCCTGCCTGGGATACAGTTGACTGTAGTGCTCAATTTGGGACACAACTGAATTGCCATAGGCTCACTAGTTCTTAGTGTTAGGTGGTGCATGAAACATTGGTTGTGGCTTATGATGCATCAGAACCACAGGTCAAGGATCAAATAACTCTGCTGATTTAACTCATATTTTTGCAGTACCTTGTTTTGGGAGAATATAGTAGAAATGTCAGAATGAGTAATCATTTCATTGTGCTATTCAGGTACGGATAAATCAAAGATTTCAGGAGAATGTGTGCATGAGGCAAACTGTTCTTATTAGCAATGCTATCTTGAACATTAAGAAGGATCTTCTCAGTCAGCCTCTTCAATTGCTTTCGGGTGTTGATATATTGGGCAATGCAAGCAGTGCACTTGGACATATGAGTAAAGGTGTTGCTGCCTTATCAATGGACAAGAAATTCATTCAAAGCCGACAGAGACAGGTTTCTTTAAAACTAATATATGCTCTTAGTTTTTGCATTAATGTTGTGAATTCGCTACTTTTTGCATTGCAAGAGATCTCCAACCTTGTAGTGCAGACCTATGTTACATGTATGGGTTAGACACCCAACACCCGGATAAAGGCGTGGTATATGTGTCTGATAATGTTTATCGGACACATATTTCGTCAGACACCTTATATGTTTATATTTAATACTATTATTATATGTATATATTGATGTATAATTGCTATATAATGAGTAAAATGCTTTTATGACATTGTATGTTACATATAACACCATTTTATCTTATATGATAGATTGGATCATGAAATAGACACTGCAGGTTTTGCCTAAAGAAACCATTAACCATTAATTTGATTAGTACTGCAGAAAGTTTACTTGAAAGGTTCAGCCCATTTTTTAACCAAGAATATAGGAAGTTTATTTCCAGAAAATGGCTAACAAAAAACCCTTCATGCATCAGCTTGGCCTCATTTTTCGACATCAATGCTGGTGGTCACTGTGACCCACCCTTTAGTTGAAGGTGGTGTAAAGAATTGCTTGTTAAATAATTCAGCTTCTTTTACTTTGAAAGATTAGCCTAATAGCCTATAGGTTGGTTAACTTCTGATTCATTATAGGGGGGAAGAGTGAAGAGATGGGATTTGCGCTTTATTATGACTTTGATTATCTCTGCTACGTGAGTTATTCATTGATAAGCCATCTTATAGCCTTTTATATAGTATTCAAGTGTAATCTATATATTTGTATGTATGCAAAGATATTTGTTTTGTTTTATTTATATACATGCACAGATATATATATATATATATATATATGTTTTGGGATATATTTATTTTCTTTTACATATCCTTTCTCATGCAGGAAAATAAAGGTGTAGAGGACTTTGGTGATGTTATCAGAGAGGGAGGAGGAGCATTAGCAAAAGGCCTATTCAGAGGAGTTACTGGAATTTTGACAAAGCCTCTTGAAGGTGCAAAAGCTTCTGGTGTTGAGGGTTTTGTTCAGGGTGTTGGAAAAGGAATAATAGGTGCAGCTGCACAACCTGTGAGTGGGGTTCTGGATCTTTTGTCAAAAACAACTGAAGGTGCCAATGCTATGAGAATGAAGATAGCATCTGCTATTACTTCAGAAGATCAACTGCTCCGCAGGAGGCTGCCACGTGTAATTAGTGGTGATAGTTTGCTTCGACCATATGATGAGTACAAAGCAGAAGGACAGGTACTTGTTGCACTTGCTACTATTTGTTACCTATGGACCTATGGTACAGTTCTTATGGGACTCCCTAGTACATGACTTCTGACAAGGGGGAATGTAATAATTTCAGGCATCATAATTATGTTGCTCAGTGGTCTGATTATTTTTTCGCTTAGTTATCTATACTTCCAAGCCCTTGGACCAGATGGTCCTCTTACACACATCATGTGTGCGAATACCATATTGATTGAAACTTCGAAGCTAAATACCCATCCAACCTATGGACTGGACCATATTTTTTTTCTTAGAAAATTGAAATGAAATTCTATTTGCAAGTTCCACATGGATGAGAAAGCTGTCAGTGCTCTTTAAAGTAGGATTTGGCATGCATGATATGGATGGATGGGAAGTAAATTAAGTAATTTATTGAACATGAGCAGGATAAAACATTGGAAGTGACATATGTAGAAGCATAATGAATCTATTATTTGAATTGATAACCATTTCTAGTGAAGTTTTTTTTTCCCCCTCTACACTTGCAATTATGTCCTCTCTCTATATATATCTATACATACATACATACATACATACATATATGTCCATGAACATGGAAAATGCAACTCTAATGGTAACCTACTGACTGTATTGTTATCTTGAAGGTAATACTGCAACTAGCAGAATCAGGATCGTTTTTTGGCCAGGTTGATCTATTCAAAGTACGTGCAAAGTTCGCCTTATCAGATGCATATGAAGACCATTTTTCACTCCCTAAAAGCAAAATCCTTGTTGTCACTCATCGAAGAATCATACTGTTGCAAGTGAGTCAATTCGGTTCGACCTGAGAGACTGGTGCTAACCATTTTCCAATTATGTTTGCCCTCAACTGCATCCAAACTGAAGTGGTTTTGTGTTTTTGTCATTTCAGCAAACTTCCAACATTATTGCTCAGAAGAAGTTCAACCCAGCAAGAGATCCCTGTTCAGTATTGTGGGATGTGCTGTTGGATGACTTGGTGACAATGGAATTGACTCATGGAAAGAAAGACCAACAGAATGCACCACCTTCACGGCTTATTATTTATTTACAAACTAGATCAGCAGAGTCAAAGGAATCAGTTCGTGTCATAAAATGTTACCCTGAATCCAATCAGGCTTTTGAGGTTTATTCTTCAATTGATCAAGCAATGAACACTTACGGGCCAAGCCAATCAAAGGTTGGAGTGTCTAATGCTCTTAATTGTTTCAATCTTGCATAGTTCTTGTTTATTGTGGCCTCTATGAATGCTGTAATGCATCATGCTTGACACCAAACACTGCTTTCTAAAACCCTTATGATGCATGGTTGAGAACCAGTTAAAAGGTTAGGTCTTGAAATTTACGATTTTGTTTTATTTTGTGCTGGTCATTCAGGCAACACTGAAAAGAAAAGTGACAAAACCATATTCACCAATTGCTGATATCAGCAGTGCTGAAGGAATTCCAAAAGAAGTGGCTTTTATGTGGCCACCCCAGCAGGTGCCTGCATCGGTTCCACTAAGTTCAACTTTTGGCAGCAGCGTAAATTTGATATGACGATGACATTAGAGTCTGATGAAATTTGGTTAGTGACTTTGTGCTAAGCAGGAATCGTTTTATGTCAAAAGCTTGTTCAGTTTGCAATTGTCAGGGTTTTTCCTACGTACTCATGCTAGTAAAAAGGTATGGCAAATGTATCTTTGGTTTATGAGCATTTCATAAGTACTAGTTTAAATGGACCTTCATGCCACAAAATCATGTTTGCAATTTCTCAGGTTCTGTTTGGATGAAATTTCTTGCTTCTTAAATTGTTTGAATATGACAAATTAAAATATATTGCAGGTGTACCAAAGAAGCATCAAACAGTACCTTGAAGGGGGTTCTATAGAGCCATTCAACCAACTTTAATATAAGTAGGATTTGTCGTCATATTTCTTCTTCAAGAAAAGGAAATGAAGGTCGTAAATGTGTGCATATATATGATATTTTAGCAGTTGTGCTCACATCCATCGCATGTGCAAAAATTGATGACGGTTATAACCATCTTGAATGTTGGCTTTGTTTGGAAGCAATTTTGGAAAATCAAAGAAGTGTGACAGAATTTGTTTTCACACCAAACTGGATGTGTCGCATTATATAGTAGTACAGATATTTGTAGATCTAGAGCTCTAGAGAGTCTGTTTTTGCTCAATCGGTAATTCTTGGGAACTGTACTTTTGCCCAATCTGTATACATTGTATATGTATGATTTACAGACAGCAGCCCATTTTTGGGTGTAACTTTTTTGATCCAGGTAGATTTAAATCCATATTTGCTTGATGGAGCTAAAAAGTGATTACTGATCTTCCCTCTGGCATATCAACTAATTTGTGCAGATGACACAGTTTGGGTGCTGTTTGGAACCTCAATAAGTGGTTCCTGGCCTACTCTCATTTTATTTATTTATTTAACTTGCAATTACTGTTCCCCTTTTCTATTTATTGAAATTCCCCTATTATATCCTATGCTGTGTTCAACCTATTACAAAACGAACAACCCGTACCAAACATAGACCAAGATGAACCCAGTTGTGACATGGATCGGGTCTTTTTTTTTTTTTTTTTTGGGGTAAAAAAAACGGAAAATAAAAAATCAACTTCCTTGATCTTTTTATAACATACTAGACATTTTCAATTGCACATATTAATGTGCTTATCTTTCTAATTATAATTTAAAATTACAACTAAACACTAAATAAATTAACTTGTAAATGCTAACAAGAGCTCACTGAAATCACAAACATTTTATTTAGTGTAACTTTTTGCAATTCGTAAGCTCATAATTACAAAATAGAAGTTAAATGTATCACCTCTTTAATTATACAATAGGAAATATCAAAAAGTGAAAATAAAGAAAAATAATTTCAAATTCATGAAAGTACAATATTCATTTGCACAAATCTAGTGCATAAATTACTTGTGCTTTCTCTGAGAGTGAAATTTTCATTCTAGTTCTCACGTTTCTGATATTCTCCCATTTTATAACACAATTAATTTGTTTACATTATGTTTACTTCATAAATTATAATAAAAAATTGCACAAAAATCTCAATAATCGACTAAAAAAAAGTCATAAGGAGCTTTATAAATTACTCGAAACATATGTTTGGTACAATTTATTATAAAATTTATTTTTTAAATAAATAATTATTTATTTATTTAATCTATTTCAACTTTAATAAGTTGTAGATAAAAATGCACCAAATAATTTTACATAAATTCACAAAATTATAAAAAATAAAAAATAAAATACAAGCAACTCTAAAAAATACATCAAAAAGTCACTCCATAAGTAAATAATTAATGTAATGAGAATAATAATTAATGTTATGTCACATCATCTGTTGGTACAATAATTGATATATCAATTGGTGCATATAGTATTATTCATAATAATATGACATCAATAATCAATATTAAATTTATAAAATTTAATGTATAAGTGGATGGTGAACTCCACTTTATAGATATAATTACTTTGTTGTCACCTTGTAAAATGTAATTCGGTGGTGTTACGTGCATTAATTAGTATATCAATACATGTTATGATATTATTACTGATTTCACCCATTGTTCATCCATCATCGCCCCAAAATTTTATTGATGATTAATTATTGTATACATCTCAAAAGTTACTGTGACTACTTTTTAACTAGTTACCCATGTCATTTTGGGGAGCACCTCACTTTTGCTTAATTGCTAATCCAAATTGAAGTTACCTGATTTAGCTTTTCTATGTTGTTAAGAACATGTTCTTGACCCTTTTTCTAAATGTTGATTTTCTGGTAGTGTGTTTCTATAATAATTATGTTTGGTCAGGGGCTTGATTCCGAGATTGGTTATGTATATTTCTCTAGGAGCAATCTTCTTTGCATCATATTTCAAGAGGTTATTTTCTTTGGAGGTCCCGCAACTTTATGCTCAAACAGTCAAGTCTATACAAAACATGGAAGATGAGGCTCCATAGTTCCATCTGTAGTTTAGCCGAGAGCAATTACTGAAAAGAGTTTTGTGTTGACGACCTGGGTTTAAAGGATTCGGCCTAATTGTTCAACTTCTTTGAGAGAGCTTCTCTGGATACTGTTGATTAGCTATATAAATGCAGATTACCTGATTTAGACAAGTTTGAAACTCTGAACTCCAGACCAGTTTATCGTTAATTTGGCTTCATTTTCTACCGAAAATGTGAATTACACTAAGGATTGCATCAGTGGCAGCTTGTATGCACTTGAGAACTTGGGGATGTATAAAAGAAAACCAGTAACAAGGAAGCTGTATTCAAAGAGATATGTGATCCAAGGTAAAGCAACTAAGGTGGAAGAATGTTATAAACTGATCATATTACCGTGCTCTCCTGTGACAGTTTGACCCATGATAGATCGTTTGAAGTTGGAATAGTTGACTGTATGAGCTTTTCACTTCACAATGTTGTATGAGTTCTATTTTTCTGTTCTGTTGATTCAAGTAGGTTGTCTTTTAAAGCTAGGTTGGCTTGGAAGAGTCTTGTGGCGTGTGAAGGGTGGCCATGTCGCTTCCTTTGGCTATATGTACTACATTTGTTTTACATAATTCAACCACCATTTGTTCAATATGCATTGATCTTTAGCAAAATTTGATACTCTTTTGTACACAGAAAGGTGGTTTGTGAAGCTATTTTCGCTGGATTTCTTTAAGCTATTGAAGTGAGACCTAGATCCAGATGGCGTGTACTTACTATGTGTTCTCTTCTTGCAGCCACATTTGAATGGCAGGAGACGCTCTGCTCTGCTCTAAAGTATTGATTTTTGGAATACCTGTCATTGATTTTCTCCTCCCTGGTTCTTGGTTACAAATTATGAAAAAAACAGGAATTATCACATTTCTTGTCCGATCCAGTCCACTGATCCCACATTTATTCATAAACGAGATGGCTCTGTGGAGATTTCTTTCAAGAAAGAAGATGCAACTGCTTTGGTTTTTACTGGCCAACATTTGATATCTTGTGTAACCAAGAATCTCTTGCAAAATGCACCCATTTAGGCTGTCACAAAAGAGTTAATACTATGATTGCAACAACTCACATTATGAGATGAACAAACATATTTCTGTCTCTGATACTGTTAAATTTCACAGAACAAGAAGAAGATTAAACCATTTCCATTATAAAGGAAAATGTTGAATCTCAGCAAATCATACACACTTTTAATCTGAGAGTTAACATAACAGAAAAACTATTCATAGAAATCCTTTTTGGCAAAGAAACTAGAAATCAAAAGAACATAGATGGTTAGATTAGAAAACAATCTAATTCCAAAATTTTAACCCCCCCAAAAAGAAAAAAAAACATGAAAACTGATACGAAAGAGATTGATCAAACAAAAAACAAAGATAGAACTTTTGCAGTGAACTCTAACATTTTCTTCCCTAAAAGATTTCAGTGGAGTATTAAAAGAATGAAAAATGTTATAAAGCAATGCTTCTATTATAATGCAGAGACTTCCATACCTCAATATCAGAATTCTCTTTCAACATTCTATAAATTACAAAATGGAAAATGCCCAAAGGTACCAACTTTTGCAGTTTCTTCAAAATCGTAGTAAACTAATAGCAATCCACATAATAAAATGATTAACCCTCTTTATATGAAAAATGGGATTGTCAAGTTTGAGAGGTTTTGGCTATTACCAAGCTCACTGCTCTCAGCAATTTCCTTCAGACTGGTCCAAGATTTTCTCTTCCGCTTGTTTGCCGCACTGACAGAATTTTCTGCAACAGTCGTAGCGGAATTGCTTTCAGATTCAGCTGCTTTCTTAGCCCCTGACCTATTCCTCTTTCTTCTCTTGGCCTCCAACAAAGTTGGCCCAGTTCTGACATATGGCGTTGCTGGAGCTGGGCTGTCTATGACAGGATCATCGGTGGTTATTGCTGGAGAAGCAATCTCGTCCACCTTTTTCACCTCTTTATTGCCCGTTGCACCTTCCTCTAATTTGATAGACTTGATAACCATGGAGTGTGAAGGTTCCAATTTGAAGGAAGGTTTGGCCTTAGAAGGACATATCTCTTTCGTATGACCTCGAGGAGTCCCTCTCTTCAGGTTTCTATGTGAGCAGAAGAGGCATTTGTAAACAACACTGTTCTGAGTGGAAACATTTGAACTTTTATGCCTACACCTTGCCTTTGCTGTATTCTTCTCAATTCTAACAGTGCAGTTGTAACCAGGCTGAAGAATAGATTCACATCTGTAAACAGTAAAATTGTAACCAAGATTCGAGGACGCTACATATTTCCTATGGTCTTAAAATGCAGAACAAGTTATTCTTAGTGATATTACTATGGTTAGGCAAGAAAATGTACAGCTGGTGAGAAACAAACTATATATCCAACAAGTAATCGGAACTAGAATTGATGCCCTTTCACGTTTGTGCTTTCATGTCACATGTTCAACTCAGGATCGTGGCATGTATGGGTACTCTATCCTCACCAACTTTGACATCAGTCCATGTTATAGTCTAGCCATTAAGATGCCATTACTGCCCATGCATTCAACTTACCAAAGATCCTAATATTTGCGCCAGAAAGCCCTTCTAAAGGTGTGAAAAGGTGCATAGAGATGTAGAAACATAAAATGCTTGACATTTACAAGGTACATAATTTTTTTTTTTTATCAACAACAAAATTAGTTACTAATCAAAAGGAAGAAATGAGGATAAGGCATCCTCTACAAGGTACATACATTTGTGCAAAACTAACATACTTAGCTTCTCTAATGCACCATTCTTCATATATCTGTTTGTTGTTGCAGCTTACAAAGTTGCAAACATTATTTGATATGCAAAAAAGTCCAAAAGAAGAATGACACCATCTTGAGAAAGGTTGAGCAAACCAATCACTCCAAAACATAACGAACATGTTTCATATCAATTTGAAGGTCCATCATTAGTCAATATACTAATACCACAAATACATAGTCAATCTATACAAATACATACAACTACGAAAACACAATCAAATATAAATGGATTTAACTAGTGTCTCTACTACGGTTCCTCTAGTTGATCAAATCCCATGTTCCAAATTGTTTCAAATAGCATAAAACACTCAACATGCAATCACAAACACATCAGACGCATGCATGGGGCACATAGACACACGCATATATATAGAGAGAGAGAGATTAGTTGCACCTCTGACAAGGAAACAGTGATGGATTAGATGATGACCCCAGGGACTCGCCAAGAGCAGCCAATTGGTGCCCGAAAAAGGCACCTAGAGAAGGTATAGAGGCTTCACCATTGGCCCACACCGCGAGGTTCTGTAGATGCTTTAACTTCAACATGGACTTCCCATTGATGTTGGGTTGTTTCTTCCCGCTAGATTCTTCTCTAAGTGTGATTGAAGCCTGAGATCCAGAAGTAAGATTGGGTGCTTTCTTGTTTGCTCCCTTCTTGCCCATGTTCTTGCTCTTTGTTTTTGGGGTGCTTCTCTTGGAATTTTTGTCGAACACCTAGAAGGCATGAACTTACATGAACTACGATAAGTGAACCACTTTGGTTGACGTTTGCTCTGCACTGATAAAGTAATAATACCACTTGTAAAATAGAATGATCAATGCCAGGCCAGTCTGTGTTTGAATCCAAATGCATCAAATCGGATAATGTCAATCTGAATCTGAATCTGCTTTACACAGAAATCCAATCTGTGTTTTTTATTTTAGCAAAATACTATTCATACAGTCATTCTTTCATGCCAAACACAACTAACAAAAACAGTAAGGTTCCATTTGAATTTAGGGATTTAAAATGCATTTAAGTTTTGACAATTCATCTATGAACGTCAAAGTTGAATTAGATAGTTTTATCATGATGGATTTAAAGTAATTATTTTAAATCATGCTAAGAATTCTCCTTCTAGCTACAATGATACTGCGAAAGTACATTTTTTAATCTCAATTTATCTTCTTCCATAGTTCTTCTATCCACCTATAATAACTTTAAGTCTCCAATATTTTTATAAAATCCAACCTCAAATCCCTTGATTTTAAATCCACAACCACCCAAACAAACCCTAATATCAAAATTTGCATACTTTTATCCGACTCATTCAATGTATAAACCATGGCAATTCATAAACAAAAAACAGAGTTTATTCTCAAGATGTAATCTACAGAGAATTAACTAGCAATAAGGCTTTCAATTGCTTATGATGAACCATAATCAAAATTGGGAAAACAAAAATAATAATTGAAAACCTAACCTTGAGACTGAAAATACGAACGTTAAGTCTGAAATCAAAAGTTTACAGAAAATTAGTCTTGTGTCGTCGCCGGAGCCGGAGAAGAAGTCCGTCGCCGCCGCGAGAAAGAGAACAAGCTGCGAAATCAGAATTTGGTGATGTGAGAGAGAGAGAGAGAGAGAGAGAGAGCCCGATTCATATTCGGATCCAATTAGGTGGATTCGAATATATTCGATCTTTCCGGGTCGGGTTTGGGTACTACCCCGTTTGCATAACTGACTCCGGTGCTTACAGTTAGGGGTGTTCGCGGATCGGTTTTGTGCGGTTTGCGGTTCGGTTTTGACCCGCCCGCATCTATGCGGTTTGGGAAAAAGTCAAACCGCAACCGCCCGCAGTGCGGTTTGCAGTTTGTGCGGATAGGGTTTGCAAATGTGCCAGCGGTTTGCGGTTTGCGGTTTACACTTTTTTTTAAAAAATTAATTTTCGAGTTTTTTTTTTTTCCAACGAATTTAGGCATCAGATTCATTTTATATATTTGTGATAACAATTTTTTGATGAGTTTACAAATAAAAATTGAATATCAATGCATTAAATGAAAGTACCCAAAACAAAAAGACCCTACACTAGCATTTTTGCCATGAAAAAAATGTATATCAATGCATTAAAGGTTGTACTCAATTAGAATTGCCAGTTCAGTAATCAATAATCAAACTATAAGTTCTATCGACCATTAGAAGAAAAATTTTATTAGGAAAAAGTGGATGAATCACCAATGAAAATCATATAAGAAACCAAGTTTAGGACTTGATAATTCTATGACATTAAGAAAGTTGAGAAATACTTAAAAATAAGGATCCTAGTGTCATAGAGAATATAATGGTGCTCCTGTTAAAGTTACAAAGTTGGTATATAAAAAATAATATTAATAATACTAATTAAAGTGCGGGCGGTTTTTGCGGGTTGCGGTTTTAACCCGCGACCCGCCCGCAACCCGCAAATTTGTCATATTTCAAACCGCATCCGCCCGCATTTTGTTTGCGAAACCGCCCATTTATATGCGGGTTGGGCGGATTGAGCGGTTTGAACGGTTCGGATAAACCGTTGCCCACCCCTACTTACAGTTAAAAATTAGTAAGAAAAATAATAAAAAAACTCTAAAGTTTGATTATTATAACAAAATAAAATTTTAATTTAAATTATTTGTTTATTTCTGTCAAATAAAATCTAGAAAAAAATATTTGAGTTCCGGAATGTTGTCCTCGAATCCCATAAAGGCTTTCATATAACATCTTTTGTAGTATTATAGAGTAAATATAAGACACCTCATAATAATATTGTTGCCCCGATCGATTGGTTGGACCTGACATTTGTGTATTTTAAATCTCTATGGTGTTTTAAGAAGTTGGTAAAAAATTAAATTTTTGACTTTTTATGACTTTTTAGCTTTTTTTTATAAAAAAAATAGAGAAGTGATGTGACCTAAAAAAAATTAAAAAATTGACTTTTTACCAACTTGCCAAAATGTCCCTCTATTTTGAATTCATTTATAACTTTTTGGATCTTTGTATTTAAGGGATTATTTTTGGATCATGGAGTTGATGATCTGAAGATTTTTTGTGGAGGAGAGTTGTTGAGAGAGCCACCTCATTTGCCGGTTGATGTATACTTTAACCAAATCAATTAAGGCTTGTCTTGGGAATATGGTTAAAATAATTTTTGATTTTTAAAAAATGTTAAGGACCTCAAATGTTTTATTGATATTTTTATCAAATATCTTACATGGATGTGTGACTCACACTATGTGGGTTCCGTGTGGGTTCCACACCCATATGAGACATTTGGTAGAAATATTGGTAAAATATTTAAGATTCCTAGCATTACTCTTGATTTTTTTGATTTTTTTAGGTCACATCTCTTCTTTACTTTTTTAAGCATTTAAAAAAAAAATCAAAAAATTAGCTTTTAATCTACTTCTTAAAACAAGCCTAACTTCTTGTAAACTTTTATATTTGTTTTGGGTCAGTCTTGTCTTCAGTCCACTTTGTGGATTGGATGGTGTTGTTGGGTCTATAGAGCCCACCATAAATCCGATTTTGATAATTTAAACCGTTCAATGTGTAGAACTCGTCGAGTACTTTATCTTTGTAAAAAATCGCGTTGATCAAATATCGATAGCTATTTGATCGGATCAAATAGTGCCAACAATTCGAATTATCGAAATAGAACTTTTGGTGGGCCTCCACAAGCCTAACAGCACGCTTCAATCTAGGGGTGGTTTGGGATGATCTACATAAGTGTACTTTTTGACTTTTTATGAAATATAGATTGGGTATGGGTTGGATTTGAAATGATGAATAGAGAGGTGATATGACTTAAATAAGATGATGTGACTTAAATGAGATGGTGACTTTTTGACTTTTTTTAGGTTATGACAAACAAGGCCCTAATCTCAAACTGGGGAAAAGCTACCCATTTGTTTTATTGACAAAATGTTTAGAAAGCAAAATTTTAGAAAGTGAAACTCAAGTTCATTTTGTGTTGTGTCTATATTGATAGTGATTGTGCTTCAAGAGTCATGCAAACTTAAATTGGAATCCATATTAGCAAAATAAGGAATATTATTTACCCAACATTCATGCACTTTTTTGGTTTTGTGGTTGTAGATTAGGGATGGTAATCTGAACCCGACTTGACGGGAACCCGAACCCCGACCTCGATTTGAGCGGTTGTAGCACCACTGAATTCTTATTGCTAGAATTTGAGGTATTTGACTAACTTGTGAACTTCACATTGCCATTTTAATTTTATTTGGAAAAATTACTATCGTAGTACATGTACTTTAGTTTTTGTGTTATTTTAGTCCATGTAATTTCAATTGACTCAATTTGACTTTGAAATCATTTTTTTTTTTGGATAAATAATTTGACCTTGAATTTAATTTGGTCAAATTGATTACAACTTTTAATAATTATTATGAAAAATACACACATAGCTGGCATGTGTGCTATTTTTTAAGAATAAAATTATAAACTTACTCAACTTTTCATCAAAAACACTAACGACATTATTAATTAGACCAAATTGACACAAAAATCTAAAATTAAGAGTTAAAATTGAGTCCATTGAAAGTGTAAGGACTAAAATGACACAAGAGATAAAATGTAGGAACTACTAGTATAATTAGCCCATTTTATTTGGTGGTTGTAAATTGGGCTAATGGGCTTAGTTTGTCTTTGTAATGTGAATAACTGTTAAACCAAATTCAATTGAATGATTTCACTGCCTAGTTCTATTAGATAGTGTTTGGTTCACTGGAATATTGTGGAATGGAATGATGATTCCATCAAAATATTCATACCCATGTTTGGTTGTTTAAAAAACAATTAATGAAAAATACATTATAAATGGAATTATCATTCACTATTGGAAATGACACTACTAAAGAAAGGGTCTTTTGAGTCGGCAAATTTTACCGTCGCAAAAGGTAGCCTTTTTGAGACGGCACAGAGTTACCGACTCAAATACCAAACCTTTAGCGTCGGTACCATTGGCCGACACAAAAAATTAATATTTGATAGTATTATTTGAGTCGGTTGAATTTACCGACGCAAAAGATAGACCTTTTGAGTCGGCATAGACCTTTTGTGTCGGCAAATTTGTGCCGAAACATTTAACCACTTTTTGAGTCGGCAATCTACCGTCTCAAAAAATTAAAACTTTTTGCATCGGTAGATTGCCGACTCAAAAACTTTTTGCGACCCCACCATTTTCGTCCCTTGAGTTGCCGTCGAAACACCATCGCAAAAAGTTTTTGCGTCGACAAATACGCTATTTGCGACGGCACGCTACCGACTCAAAAGCCCTGTTTTCTAGTAGTGTGAATGATCATTCCATCTCATTCCAATAAACCAAATAGAGTATTAGTGTTTATTATGATTTTCTAAAAATGAATTTGAATGTACTTCTTGTTGGTGAACTGATTGTGGATAGTTTTGGCTTAATGAATTGTTAATAGAGAGCATGTGTACGATTTTGCAGGGGCATATGGCGCATCTGTCCCAAGTGGGTCCATCACACTACATTCATTATGAGAACATAGGATCTAAAGTGGGCTACAGTCTTGTTTTCAACATAGGGACAGGGCCAGCCCTGGCACCAAGCCAACCCGGCCATGGCTTTGGGCCCCCCAAAATAGGTCCAAAAAAGGTCCCCTTCTATTATGGGTTAGTGTAATATACTAGGTGTCTTTTAAGCCCCCCAAAAAATTAAAGGACCCCAACTAACTTAAAATAAGCTGGCCCATTTGAAAATCTAAGGGCCCGTAAGCCCAATCTGCCTAAAACGGAAGGAATTTTCTTAAAAGAACTAAATTTTTTTTTTTGAAAACTAAGAAAACAAAAGGGACAAAACCCCAAACCTAAACCTAATTCTCTCGGCTCTTTTTCTCTTTCTTTCTTGCTGTAGCTTGCTGCTACTTTGCCCTGGTTGTGTTTTCCTTTGGGTTGTTTATTTACTTTGTAAGAACTATGTTTTAGGCCCCGTTTGCAGACTTACTTTTTTAGCCAATTAGTCAAAAAATTACTAAATTAGCCAAAAAGCCAACAACTCATACCAAAAAGTCAAAGATTCTCTTTTCTCTCTACTTTTTGCACATCTTTTTGTAATTAGCCAAAAAGTCATCTCAAACATACAAGTTTTTTTTACCTACCTTTTTAGCCAAATAGCCAAAAAGTTACTAAATTAGCCTGTTCCCAAACGAGGCTTTACTCTTTGCTTTAGTAGTTTATAAATTTCTGTTGAATCAAAAAATATATATATATATATATATTTGTGAAGAGCCCCAAATTATCAAGTGATACTTATCAGTTGATTGTGGGCTTCGAGCCTCGGAAATCTCAAGGCCGGGCCTGCATAGGGAGCGGTATCGAGGCATCCAAATTTAAGGAAACTTGCACAAGTTTTCTATCTTTATCATCGAATTATACAACGACAATGCATGTTTTACATTTAGACAGTGCAAGAGTATCATACAAACGAGGACACCAGGCAATTGTTAATGCAAGCCCCTCTACAGAGGATGCTGTGATTGCTACAGAGCCATTGACGAAAGAGGATCTTATAGCATATCTTGCTTCTGGGTGCAAGCCTAAGGAGAAATGGAGTTCAACTTCTAACTCTCATTGGTACTTAGATTCAAGTGGCATC